TGAGCGAGTGAATAAACGAGGTATCACGTACAGTCTGCAGTATATACTTTGCACATTTTCTGTAATACAGTGTCCGTGAACGACCTCATGGGTGTGAGATCGGCAGTTGGATGGAACGCGCGCTCAACGCGCAGTCTGTCAAAAGTGAAGGCGTTGAGTGGGCCTGGAGCCAGGTGTGGGCAATGGAGGCCAACTCGTCTGGCAGTGTTGAACGCGCTAGTGTTACGAGTCATCCCTGACTCGTTGATTTACCATGGATCTGAAAAACCGTGCCTGAGCGATTGGCAACTTTAGGCAGGAGTTTCCCACGCTTCGCGCGTGCCGCGACCTTCAGCTTAATATGGAAACTTTTCCCACGGGCTATACTTGAGACTTAAATCTCAACTATATGCTTGAGTCTCTGAGTGTACTAACCTGATCTGTCATCTTATCTGACTGTATGATCTATAAGAGTTGGCAGAATGAGAATGACTGAGGGAAAGGGATTGTCAATATGTATACTAGTTGCTCCTACCAAGTGCCTGCTTGGCACAGCCTCACCATCAATCCAGAGATCGGCCATCAGCTCACTAGCCTGCTCCCTGCTCCCAACCTCTTGCTGGCTAGGCCTAGTGGCTATAATATACCTTCTTGTTATAAACCCACCTGGAGCTCAGACTGACACATTTCATCACGTCATGTTGAATGTGAAAGAATTAGAGCGATGTCGTCCGTACTCATGACACTACAGGCTTTGTAAAGTTCCAGCTGGCAGTCTGCTTGGGGCGAGCATTGAGGTTCGGTATGTACCTGTGGTTGGATTCTTCTGTTCTTCTGGAAATATCTGCTTTCATATACATAGTATTTGATTTTCAATTTCATGGGAGCACATGGGTGCTGATTCCCATATACCCCCACAATCTCTCTGGGCCCACCTGCTCCTCCCCTCCCCTGGTCACTGTGCGGTTTCCTACCGCTACCTTACCTCATTGGGGGGCGTATAGGAGTTCTTTGGTATAGAGAACATGACTGTGCTCTCTGCTTAGTGTGCTGATACTTTGTTCTTGAGCTTTGGGCATGTTACCCCCACATGCTCCTCCTCCCCTCCCTGAAAGAATCATCAGCTGGATCACTTCAGAAATCATGTTTCTAGGGTTTCTATAGTCTGGAAACATGATGCAACCTATAGCCTAGCTGCCCAAGCTTCCATCATTGCATGGTGGCCATAGACATGAGTCAAATGATGGGATCACAAGAATGTTCCCACTGGTCATGGAGTCAAGCAAGTCGCGACTCGGTGACCAGTGGGAAAGTTCACGTGATCCCATCAATTTTGAAGCGACCTCTTGTATTGAAAGATCAAGTATAGCTATGGCTAATCCCAACGGTGGGCTTATGGTATTAGGGTATAGGAGCTCAGATCAGCTATGATCCTAGCAAAAGGTTGAGAACTTCACTTGCAGTTGTAAGTTCTCTGATACAAGGCTAGAGGAGGAGCAGATAGATGCTGTGCAATATCTGCTAGATGGATTGCCTGGATTTTTTAACTGCATAATTATGTATATGTAAAGAGTAGGATCTGATACTAATCAAAGCCGTATCTAGCTTTCCCACGGTACACTGTGCATTGTCTGCTATTTCAGCTCTCTATCTTACAGAAGTTGCCTGGACTGAACAGTCATCACTACAGCTATGGGACACAGGTAGCATAGCTATACTCAGTAGAGATCTACTACATGTGGTATTATATATTAGCTGCTCTGGTTGCAATAC